TCTTTGTAAAATATTTCTAACGCAAAACTCTAAGAACTTATGTTACAACCCAATAGTTGTATACGGAGGCCAAGAGGGAAATTAAGTATTGGCGAGCGTTCTTGACTAGTGACCATCACATTGAATATAAATATTGTTAAAGATATATAGGACGATATAATATTACGAATAGTAGGAATTAAAAACTCGAAAGAATTTCGTGCAAAAAGCAGATACAGCCTAAGATCGAGTATCAACGCCAATGTTTCTTGTGCTGCCCGTTACTAATATTCCGTTACTACTATTCCATATCGGTTTGTAGTGGACGCAAGTAAGGTAGAACGAAAAAAGTCAGTACTGGTAGATTGCTTCAATTCATCGCGGATGCAAGGTTCAATATGACAACTTATTTCGCGACAGGATTTCATTGGGAAAAGCCTTGGAATCACTCTCGACCGCTGTAGAACAGAGAAGGCCGAAAAACCGAATTAAGCGTTTACTTGTACCATGTGAAAGATGGACACCTGGCTTTGTTAAAGGAAAGAGTGAAGCCCGGCCGATTCAAATATTGTATCTAAACAGCGCTGCTTGCCTGTTTAAATTCTGCTTCTCAACCGTACTCAATTTTGACCTGCCCGTGATTTGATTCCGTCATGCACCCGCAAAGGCATTGAAAATAGAAAACAAGAAGTAAACAAATGAACGATCCAGCATAAAATAATATTGGAACTTGTAGTTTAAGACTACTGAAACACTACTATTAGTTTTCCGAGAACTTATGGTAAAGCAAAGAAAATTGTAAATTGAAGCAATACCCAGAAATACACGAAAATTAAGTTCACTAAAGTACGAGAACGAAAGTACCGTTATTTGATCTTGAATTTGAGCAAGCGTCAGCTGCGTGTCTGGAACTACGGTCTCCAAGAATGGAACAATTGGTTTCGATACCTGAAATTATACCGTAAAAGAAATTCCTCTTCACTATACAGACGGAAAGTGATTAAAGATTGGAGCATAGAGCTTTTTCTCTCTACAGCATGATCATACTCTCCTTACGCGATAAATGGGTGACGACATAAAGAGTACAGGAAGCAAAATTCGGGCAAACAGCCAATCATTGATGGTTTACCCTTTACCCAAAAAAAAGCCTGTTGAAAACAGACCAAACCTTACTATTTCCGAGAATAAGTCTATGTGAGTGAGTGAAAGAATTGGCACGAGANCGAGACTTTTTTTTGGAAAGCTAACACTCGCAAAAAAACTCGCTTGACACTCATTCAGAAGATCAGCCATTCTATGGTTAGAGCAATGTTTCCATTTCAGGCTCCAAGCTACCAATACAGCTTGCATTGTGAAAACCGTGAAGAACACAAGCAGTTCATGGCATGACGACTCTGGTTCGCGACAATCCTAGATACCCTCTAGTCCACCTTGTAACGCACCCTGTCTACACGCTAGCCTACAGATGCTATTACGATACCTGAAGTGGTGATTGTAAGAGTTACTAAACGAGTACCGCAGAGCAGCAAGAGGGTGTCATCACAACATGACATCGAATATAGGTCGATGAAATACGAGCAATTGTTTTTTTCAGCACTTTGGTAGTTGGTTAGTTTGCCTACCTCTAAATCTGTGAAACCAATATCTTCCAAATCCTTGAGACATTTCTGCAGGTGAACTTCACCTGCAGTGACCATAGCCAACTCTCCATTGTCAAGCTCAAGCACCTTAAATGTCAATGCTCTTCCAGTCGAAGGAAATAAAAATATGCCAACTCTTTAAAAAAAAAACCTGACGCCGAAACGTTCGGAGCACCAGAATTCAAGCAGCTCTTACTCGAAGACTCGGATCCAGCACCGAAAGCATTTTGAGACCTTCTTTCAAATTGTCCATATCCTCCAGATTGGCAGTATTAACTGACACCCTGACCAAAGGTTCTCCCTGTTTCAATCCAACATCCAAACCTTCGCTGACGGCTTCCGAGCATAAAGTAGAATTCTGCAAAAAAAAAGTTGAGAATTTATATCCACTTCAAAGCCAGTGTTTGATACGCAGTAAAATAGCACCGCATGGTCAGGTTTTTATCCATTTTGTACTGATGTCGAAAAACCTCACTATATCTTGCCCCTCCTTTTCCCTTTGGATCAAAGAACTGGTACTTGAATTGTAGTCGTATAAAGGACGTAAGATGAAGCCTTCGGGGTAACCGATCCTGATTTATATGGGCCTTCGCATTCGATTTATATTCAGAATCGTAGTGGCCTACTGAATGCATGTTTGGCCGATACAATGACTGACGGTGGCCAGCCGACGTAAAGGTCAGTACTTCTATTGTTTAGACGATCTGGAACTCACCAATCAAAAAAAAAAATGCCAACCATAACCAACGCTATACTCCGCTCAAAATGAAAATTTGTCCTCTGATTCTTCGCGAGGATCTATCTAAGGACTCTGAAGCGTTATCAAATACAAACGAGGTTTTTGATCTTGTCTACGCTTACGTTGGGGCCTGGCCCACCTGTCACGGAAATGAGAACCATCTTCTCCTGCCAATCTCCACTTTGGGATTCTGGAAGATTTCTGTCCTCAGTTCTATGCTTCGCCCAGCAGGCTTACCACGGAACATTGCTTTTACAACATTCGCTATACTCTACGCACTGTCTCCCCTGAACCGGAACCTTTTAAATCCAAAAGTTTGTGATCTAAACTCCGTACACACTGATGCGTAGCCCTACTACTAAGAACAGTTGTTTGTATGAACCATGACAGTTCCAATGTGCATTACCATTTGGCTCCGTATTTGTACTGTTCCTCGAGCGACATTGGCTGCTTTCATAGTCCGCGATTTGGCGCGCGAGCGCGCTAGCGAGCACGTCGGCCGAGGGACTGCTCGGCCGGCGGTATCGACAAAGATTCATTGTAAACAAGGGGCAAGCGCAGTCACCAACCGGCGCGCTCGCGGGCCAAATCGTGGACTATGAAAGCAGCCACTCATTTTGTTCGTGCTCTGCCCATCGTATGTGAAACGGGGCTCAAGTCACGCGTGTTCGAAGATATTTTTGCCCGGTTAACGCTCATTTCGCATCGCCTCACCTCCCTAGGCGACCATCTCAACCTTTTGCTATCACCTACCAATACTGTTGAAACCTCTAGGTCCAGTGGAACAGGAGCTAGGAATTTCCGTTCACCCACTCATTTTGTACACTTCCCGCCCTTCGTAGGCGGCTTCCCAAGCCGAACTTTACATGTTTTTCACCGGATTACGTGTCGTTTGTTAAAGCCTTGCTCACAAGGGTGTCCAGCCCTCCTGCCGAGTATGGCTGTGCTGTGAGACTATGCCGTTCAAATTGGCATTCCAATTCGTCTTGGTAGTGCGTAATTTCATGGGAATGTGAACTAAGGATACACATACACACACGTAAAGATAAAAACAAACACGAGCTTAAACGCACATACGGGAATATTGACTGACAGATAGGTAACAGGACTAGACTTCGTCACCCACATACATAGAGGGGGGGGGGGCTCCGATTAGCGGGCTGCAGCCCTGATTCGCTACACTGATGGCAGGGGACGGAGCGTGCGCGAAACGAGTGTAATGGAGCAAAACCACGCAATCAAGTGAGAATCAGTGGGGAGTGTTACTTGAACACAAAGAACTTGAGCAGGACTTCGCTCTTGGCGAACGGGGCGCACGAACTTGTCGCTGTGTGTATGTATTCCGCTGGAAATTAACAACTCCAGTCTGTCCTGTCAAAATGACAGCCCGGCCTTGGTCGGGCGATCTTATACCTATCATTACGAAGGCGCAAAATTTCGACACGAATATGAAAATGGTTAGGGACACGATAGGGTGCGATAAGATTAAACTAAAGTGTGTTAAGTTAGAGTTACGGTAGACGAAAAGAATTTCCCTTCTCACAATCTGTTACAATCGTTTTTATCAGAACGTCTTCGAACTGTTGATGTCGAACGTGAACAGAATTGTCGATTCCATATTTCAGCTCCTCCCATCTATGACCCTCTAGACCTCTATTTTTGCATACCCCAAACTATTTTGAATTTATGAAGTGAGCACCTTCAACTTGTGAGCACATCCTGACAACCGTATGCGGAGTTCTACTTCAATCAGGCATGCTTAGAACCCTTGAGTTTCATCAGGTACTGAAAGGGATAAAGAGCACGGTGCCCGGAAAGCGCAAGTACGGGTTCGAGCCCCTTCCGAGGCCGATGCTTGCCCACAAATCGTCATCCTTGTGAGACTTTTGGGTCGCGTACTGCGGCGATATGACAGCAGCCAAAAAGTCAAACAGCAGGTACACCACCCTCCTAACTCCACCAGCTTTCGCGTTCCTCCATTTTTGGAACAGCGTGATGCAGCTCTTTCTTACTTGAATAATATCAATTTCACGCACTCGACTATCACGCGTGTTTCGGGAGCTTGGCCCATGCTTCACTTTGCGATGATAAGAAACAGACAGATAAAAAATTCGCGTGGTCAACATATAGCCATGATACTTACGACATATGACAAAAGGGATTCAAAGCAAACTTCTCACCTGTAAGCAATGGAACGGAAGAAGAAATGCATTTCAGGAGTGAAAAAGCCACCGCCATTGGCAGTTTTACCGCATGCTTTGAGAATAAATCCATCATTCTCGACTTCCTTTGACGTAGAAATAGTCGCACAAACTTGCATTCGCATTGCCCTGCATGGCACAAAAAACCCTGGCCGCGAAATGAACTGAATTGACTCGCGTAGATCAGATGAATTTTGGAAGGTAGCCTCCACTGATTTCTGGAGCTCATGCATTTTCAACCCCAAGCCATTACGGTACTGAAGAATTTTTGAGAATGCTTGGACGGTCAATCTGCCAATGATATAACGAACACGTACGTTTGGAAAGGAAATACAGCATACTGCTGATGCTGCGACAACTCATTGGGGGACGGGCACTACGCGCGTCGGAGGACGAGAGCGGCAAGCGCTAAAGTCGTTCAAATCGTTACGAACTTCGCCGCGCGCATCCTCGGATCTCTGACGAACGGGCGCACGTAATGTCACATACCCTAACTCATTATCAAAGGAATTTCAATGATCTGAACATTATGATGTCTTCTGCTACCAAGCACCAGATCTTTCGTTTCACAAATCTGACACACGATACACGTATGAAATTATGGTCACCTAGGGGGTATGTCGTTTGACGCGGCCCCTCCCATCGCGCCGCCCATTCGACGCGGTTTCTGAGCTGACAACTCGTCCAGGTGATTCAATCTCATAACCATGCTAATCGATGCAGATAAACTGAATGCAAGAAAGTCCACAATTCGACGTCTAATAGTAGTGATGTCATCGATCGGGCGCATATCAGCTGGATGCGCAGTTGATTGGCCGCTTAGCACGGTCAGGAGGGTGAGTCGCCTGGACGAATTGTTCAGCCCAAAAACTGCGCTGAATGGGCGGCGCGATGCAAGTGGTCGCGCCAAACGACCGCCTCCCGTAAAGAAGGGACCGCAATGGAATGAATTTTTTTGATTCACGCATCTAAACCTAAAGTTTAATCGTGCAAGCGAAATTAATGTCCGCATTAGAACACAACAGAAAAGCGTACCCACTTGTATAAGCCCTTTAGCATCAATGGCGCAAATCACTCCCGCCGTGGCCTTCTCCAAAGGAAGCAAGTCTCGACCTCGCAACGCCCACACACCATCCACGGTCACTTTTAAAGGCTCCGAACCATCCATCACTTGCTTAAAGAGGTTTTTCTAGCGCATGTACCCATCATAAAAGAAGAACACACACCTTTCGCCCTAGGACATACAAACTCGCTCCAGTAATGATCCGTCCACTGAAAAGACGGCATACGGCTAGTTTACGATCCTCGAACCGGATAAATTTCACAACAAGTGCTACGGTAGGACCTAAAAGAGTATTTAGCTCCCCTTACAACTTGAGAGCTGCGAGAAAGTACAGTACCTTCTGGAGAGCAGTCCTGAATAGCTTGAGCAAGTGGGTGCGTTTCCTTATTGCCCACGAGGTACTGCATCCTGAAGAATCTTGTTCAATGTTTCCTAAACCTCAGAAAACAACAAACGACGAATTGTTTCACTAACCGATGATTGTTTCGGAAAGCAGTTCGCGCAGAAGGCGCTCGAGCACACGCTTTGAAACATGCGGCCGGCAGAGGGAGCCATGTTCTCATACCTTCATCAAAAGCGTCAAGAATGCGACGAGATTTTATTGTCACTCCAAGTTTACCTGGAAGAATCCCATCCTTTAAAGAAGGTTTGTGTACGGGGAGGGTGTGGATATCTGCCCATTTCAAAAACCTTTTAGCTCCCGAATTCATGATGTTCGCGTTCTGGGAAACATAAGGACTAAGTAATCGGAATCGTTCCTCTCGAACTCAATAACTTGAGATTAGATGGAAATGAAATAAGGTTAAAGCGTAGATGAGTCAGTCAAGTTCTAACAACTGAAGAGAGGTTAAAGGCTCAGTTCACGATAAAAATGGCTTCTGAGTTCTCCTCGCAGGAATACCCAGTGGCTCAAAAGGGTAACAGGGAGAACGCTGTCGAGTACCAAAACTCAACAGCTAGGGCGCAATGGTAATCCCGTTACCGGATCGCCCGGAGTTCCCACCCCTCGGGCGATGTCACGTCAGACGAGTGTCTAGGCGATACAGATTGCAACATTCGTTCTAGGACCCACACACAATCAGCTGATCGCCGAGTGATGAGGCAATTCTTTTTCCATATTCCTTCAATCTCTGTTATTCTTTTGGCTGCTGCGATCCTTTATTAAATTTTCTACCACAAGAAGCAGAAAATGTGGGCTTTTTTTTGCTGTTACTGACGTTTTTTATTAACTTATGATTATGAGTGAACGGATTTGTGGTATGGTAGTAGTTAGCTATCCGCACCAGGACCCACATGTAGGCAACGACACACATTATATAGCTCGTCCAAACGCCCCACTTCTCTTCACTCTTCTGGTCTCATTCTCGTCCAGCTCCCTTTTTAACGATTTCTCGAAGCCTTTTTCCACTTCGAAGACACCGATTCAAGCAGTTTCTTCGCCTTCATCGACTATTTCCCATCTTATCCTCCATTTTTCGTCATAATCTGGATTACCCGGAATTATCGTGAACTGTGCCTTTGAAGAAATGCCAAGCAGGAGACAAGCAAACAAACTACAAGTACTGGCACAGCTTAATGCAATGGAAATATCTTCATCACGACGCAACGGTGGAAAGGCTAGATTGGTTTTTGAATAGGCTCTAGTTCTCACCCTCCCTTCCGATCAGCAATCAATGGACCTACCCATCATATTTATTAGTTTTTGCAAGTCATTATCAACCAGTCCGCAATCGTGGAGTGCCCATAACGGCTCCAACACAAGTTGCACGAATAATGTCTTTTTGCCACGGGAAGCAGCATCGTTCTGAAAAAGGAACTATGAGAAAAATGATGAGATCTTCGCTCCATTCTCACCTTAATTTTTCCACCAGATAAACAAAAATCCCCAAATAAAGCGTTCGTCAGTTCTGACTTAGCTATTTTCAGCTTTTCAGCGTACATATCAGCGAAATCATCCACTCCGAACGCATAA